TCCCGCTGTAAGCGGCCCCGAGGTGCCTCGGGGAGCAGGTGGAGATGAGGGCTGCGAAGGGCGGGCAGAGCTGCCTTACCGAAAGCGGGAGCCGCTCGGTATAACGTTCCCCGAAGGAAGTGCTGAAGGCTCGGTGCTAAACCGGAGCCGAGCGGAGGGGCTGCGGAAGCTGGAACAGAGCAGGGTGGTACGGAGAGCTGTGCTGGAATCCCTCTGCGCACTGGATTTATTGAAGTACTAAGGGAGGGCAAGATCCAGGAAGGGTGGAATGAACGGGCAGCAAGAAACTCGGGGCGGGCAGTGGTTGGGAGAGACCTGGTGAGTGAGCTTAGTGATGAAAGGGAGGGGGAGCGGCAGTGGGAGAGGAAAACAGAGTCTTGGATGAAGCCGTTTGAACGTGCTTCACCTTTGTTTATATGAAAAAGCAAGAGACAGAAAGAGCAAGGCCAGAGTGAGCTGGGAAATTGCTGAGGTTAATGGTGCAGCTCTTTAAAACTCTGATACGTTTCTCGCCCCAGTACGACTCCAAGCTGTTTTTCCAGGAACTGCAACGGCTCGTTATTGGTACTCAGGTGCTTTGTCAATACGGTCTGTGCTTTTTGTAGGTGTGCCCTAGAGGTCAAAGAACCGATGACAACAAAATCTGCCGGGAATGTATGGGATCTCCAGACCGCTATGACTGGCTGTACCTTGGCTTCATGGCCATGCTTCCCCTGGTTTTACACTGGTTCTTCATCGAATGGTATTCAGGAAAAAAGAGGTTTGTGTATCCTTTCTTCAGATCAGTTATTTAAAAATGGAAATCTCGAATCCATGAGCAGTCGATCTGATATGCTGAATTGAACTGTCCGGCAGTGGACCTTGGTGGAGCTGATAGAGTAGCACGTAAACTTTGGGCAGCTGGAGGTGGTTTTTTTTCGCAAATGTAAGATTGATGGGCACTGCCCTCAGGACATGGTCTGTATCTCTTTAATGTGGTGGTGCCCAGTGTGATTTGGGCTGGATTGGGTTCCCCGGTAGCAGGCAGGAGCAGCGCGTTGTGTCACCCCCTCTCTCCTGCGCCAGACCTGCCACCCACTGAGGCCCCAGTCAGCGGGGCTGCGCACGTGCAATGGAAGAATGGGTTTGAGTTTTCTCTTTGGGAATACGTATGCTGGGTTTTGGTCCTGACAGCGTAGCTGATGTAACCTTTACGTCAGCATGGCGCATTAAAGAAGTTCTGTAAAACAGGGATTTAAAACCACAGCTGGCTATTAGGTGCTGGGCTGGAACTTTTAAGAAGTCATGACTCTCGAGTGTACTGAACACTGAAAACATAGGGGACTGAGAGAGTTTAATGTATGTATATATACCATCTTTAACACGGACTTTTGAAAATTTCGCTTGTATGTAACAACGTTATCCCTTCTGAGACGTGCGGTGTCTCATCCTTACTGCTGCTTTCTTTGACACTGCAACAGCGTGGGTGGTGGTGTCCTGCACCTGACTGGATGCTTATGCTACAGCAAGCTTCCACTGAAGAAGCTGGAATGCTGTTCAGTTACATTTTACGCACTAAGTCGTCCGAGATTGTAAATGAGTTTTCGTTTTCAGCTTCAAATACTTAACTTTTTATTCAAGCAGCATTGTCCTATCCTTGATCACGGTGAATACTAACTCTGTAGAAGGCTCTGTACTGCACGGGCCTCCGCTTCCCAGTCACTGTTTAGATTTCCTTTAGCGTTCGCAAAATAGTAGTAAATCTCTCTGTCTCGCCTTCCACAGTTCCAGCGCGTTGTTGCAGCACGTCACGGCCTTGTGTGAGTGCAGCACTGCGGCACTTGTGACGCTGCTCGTCAGCGACCCCGTTGGCTCTCTGCGGATCCGCTCCTGCCCGGTGAAGAAGCTTTCGGACTGGTACACGATGCTTTACAACCCAAGCCCTGACTACATCACCACAGTGCACTGCACTCATGAAGCGGTGTATCCCCTGTGAGTGTAAAGGTTTTCATACTCCTGTCTGTCCCTTCCTTTGACACAGGTGTGTTTCTGTCTGTGCCTTTTCTCAAAGCAGCAAAAAATATTCAGGTAGAACTCGGACCGATGACCATCCATCCGAGAAGTCTTTTCGTGCCTCCAGCTGTTTTATTCGTGAAACACTTAGCAACAGCTAACGACTTTCTGAGTCACCAAAGAAGGTGGCATAGTCCTGGCTATTTAGCTGTGAAGTGTAAGACTTCCATTTTTTTTCCCCTTTGCTGCATCTTGACCGTTTCCCCTGGGGAAAAAGCGAGCCCATCGTTCTGTGTTTACATCCTTTAATTGTAAATTCTTTAGACTTGACTGACTCTAACCCCAAGCTCCCTGGTTCTGAGTTGAGTCTGCAGGAGAAAAAGACCTGCACATTTGAAGGTATTTCTCTTTTTTCAGGTACACCATTGTGTTTATTTATTACGCCTTCTGTCTTGTGCTAATGATGCTACTTCGGCCTCTTCTGGTTAAGAAAATTGCCTGTGGTTTAGGAAAGTCTGATCGATTTAAGAGCATTTATGCAGCGCTGTACTTCTTCCCTGTCCTCACCGTGCTTCAGGCTGTTGGAGGAGGCCTGCTCTGTGAGTTCTCTCCTAATAACACTAATAAACATACCTGTAAACACACAGTAACAAATTACTGACGGGAGGGATGGAGGGGACATGACATTCTTTTTGCTTTGGGAATAAGGACGTTGTTTAAGGTTACTACTGTGAGGAGTCTGGTCTGGAAAGGTGGCTCGTTAGTAGCCCTGTCCTAACCAGGCTCCTGACCAACACTCGCCTCTGCCAGTGCTACTGGAGGCTGTCCCTTTCCCAAAAAAGGACAGGTGTGAGGGGGTATGAGAGGAAACACTTCAGAGGGAGGGAGTTTCATTGTTTGCCAAGGTGGTTTGTCCGAGTTCAGAGATGGATTAAAGTCTAAGTTTGGGGAGATAAGCTTTTTTCAGTTTAGCTTCCAGCATACTTGTCACATGAAGGGGACAGGTGACGCAAAGTCCCCACTCAGCCTACTTTTCTCATTTTCTGCCTTTTCCATTAATGATTTAAGTGTACAGTAACTCCACCTAGAAATATTAGAAAAAGTTTGAAAACCTAAGGCAGAAGCATTGAGTAGTTGTGCTTGGCTGACCCTTAGTTTAGTGCTGTGCGTGTTTGAGGTCAGCTTACTTCACACCCGTGGTTCCATGCGGGAAACTCCCTCTGCTGAAATGTATATCATGCATTCTTTTTCCTGCTAATGTGTTCAATGTTTGCCTTTAGATTATGCCTTCCCATACATCGTGCTGGTGTTGTCTTTGGTTACGCTGGCTGTGTACATGTCTGCTTCTGAAGTGGAGGTAGGTGAACAAACTCATATTACAAAATACTTGAATGAGCAGAGACCACTTTGTCTCTTGCCTTTTCTCAGCGATGTATTCTGCGTTTAAGCCTGTTCCTATATGACTTCTCCACTTAGCTGGAGGAAGCTCCTGCAAGTCTTCCCTCTTGTGGTGCACTGAGCAACTGTGTTGTGCTGGAAGGGCTCAAACCCAGGAGGCTTCATAGAGCCTCTGTGCACGACCTATAACATTTCTTAAACATCAGGTACTAGGTAACGGGCTGAATACTCACAGGATACTGTGTTTGTTTTGCAAGTCTTTCAAGGATCTTCTTGTCAGGAAGAAAAGGCTTGTCGTCCTCTTCAGCCACTGGTTACTTCATGCCTATGGAATCATCTCCATTTCCAAACTGGATAAGCTTGAGCAGGACCTGCCGTTGCTTGCCTTGGTACCTGCACCTGCGCTCTTCTACTTACTGACAGCCAAGTACACCGAGCCGTCGCGCGTGCTCTCAGAAGGTGGCAATGGACATTAGAAGGAGCCCGTGCTGACAACGCTGTCCTAACAATCTGGATTAAGCAATTTTAGTGCTTGTTACGCTTTGGAGACTTCTGTTTTAAAAGAAGTTAGTTATGTACAAGACTTCTGGGTGAAACACCTCTGAGAGAGACTGTATAATATTAAAAAGCCGCACTTGGTAATCTTCTTAAATACCAGGTATACATCAAAGGGAATGTCTTTGTATTTATTCATCACTGTGAATCTGCATAAAAAGCTTGTGCCACATTCTAGTACAGTAATTTGCTTGTGTATGTTTATTTCCTAATACAATGCTTTAGCTGTTGTTTGAATGGAACAATACAGCCTGGTTTTCCATAGACTTTCAATCAAACAAAAATGCCATAGAGCTTGGTGTTCTCATCGTGTAGGCTAGCTTCTATCCCCTGCCAGTGGAAATAGACTTTCATCTTCCTTCCGTCAAAAAATAAAATATGTTGAGCATCTTCTCATTTATTCCTCATGAGGCTTTAGTCTGACTGCTAGGAAGAAGGAAATGTGTTGTAAAGTTCTCTAGAAAGTGTAGTTTATGGTCCACGTACTTCATGTATGGACACCTCTTCCTGGAGATGGTTAAACAGTAGTATCCTTCCCACTAAATCCATTCTCTTATACCTGGACTATAAATTTCCATCTCAGATCAAAGACTTTCTTTCCTGGTAGTTGTCAGCAAACCACTTGCTGCGGATAAGCCGGTGAAGCATCTGTTAACTACATATGGGTGAAGCCACCTCTGCATCGTGCAGCACAGCCACTTTGGCTTCCTCCTGTGGGAGCGCGTCGTGCCCGCTTCATCCATTTATCCGTGGTGCCAACAGCTCACCTCTCGTGTGTGTGGCTACAGCTGTACCCATACTAGAGCAGGCAGACAGGAGTGCAGTGTAGCAGCTGAGAAAGGAATAGCTCTTTATGCAGCATCTCCACTGCAATGAGAGAAATTGCTGGAATGACTGAAGTGCAAAACCAGCACGTACTTCATGAAAAGAACTGGAGATTCCTTATCTCCATAGAGAGATACCATTATCTCTGCTCTAAATTCATTAAAATCTTGGTATGAACACCTTGATAAGAATTGCTAAAACTTCTGAGGCTGTTCAGAAGTGAGGCTTTGGCCTTGCCGAAGCCAAATGTCCACCCAAAGACTCCAGTCTTTTCTCCATATTGTAGTGGGAGATACCCAAAGTGTGTGTCCTGTATATTAGTCACCAGTAACTTAGTGCTGTAGAGAGTCTGTAAGAAGATGCGGAGCAGCGCTGAAAGTCTAAACACAGCAGGAAGAGTAACAGGAAGATCTTCTCAACTTAAACTCTTCCTACTGCTCTGGCACTGCAAATAACAGTGTCTATTTCTGTATTTCGGTGTGACAGTAACGCCTTTTTTATTCTATTACCTGTCACGGTTGCTAAGGATGGAGCCTGGCAGCAGCTCAGGGGCTTTCAGGGGTGTCATCTCAGCCAGGCTGCCTGGAGATGTCGCTCTCTTTCTCCACAGAAGGTTTGATTTCCTTACATCTGATATGCCTCTGCTGATAGCTTTTTTTCTGTGCAATGCCAATTGCCCCCTCAAAGGGGCTGCCCACTCTGATGGCTGGCTGCAGCACCAGGAAGAAACTATTCAAGAAGAGCAATCAGGTAACATGGAGGAAATCACAGCCAGCCCCTTTGCACATGGCGCTTGTTGGCCAGATTCTGCACTGGGCACAAAACGCTCTTTTCAAAAACCATGCCTGAATCGCTATGATCATAGGGATCTTCTTCACTTTCTTCCTCCTCTTGCCCCTCACTCCCTCCTCCTCTTCCTCCTCTGGCTCCATGTCACTAGTGGAGCTCTCCTCCTCACGCTGTTGACATCTTCACTGCTCCTTTTCCTGAGCTGCCAGCAGAGCCCAGAGAAGAGGATTTGGACTAGAGGAAAGGCCCAGACCTGCCCCCTGCTGCAAGTCACCAAAGAGCAGGGTGACCCAGGCAACGCTGCTGTGATCCTGGATCCTCTGCTCCTGGGTCCTCTACTCCATCTGCTGCACTGGACAGATCAAATTCTGTCGTGCGCAGCTGTACAGGGTGACGAGTTATTGTCACTGCCCCAAAACAAGAGCATGGACATGCTGGGGAGCTTTAGTTACAGAATCAATGAATCAAAGGTTCGTACTGCTCCTTTGGTACTGCTCTCTTTTTATGAATATTATCATTGTTGTTACTCTTTTCTCGTTTTTTAAATCGTCCTTATCCCAACCCACGTGTTTCACCCTATTACTTCCGATTTTCTCCTCCCGTTCCACCAAGGGGGAGGAGGGAGTGAGCAGCAGCGTAGTGGCTGAGCTACCATCTGGGCTAATCCACCACAGTGCCTGAAGACCTCTTCCATTGTCCATAGAACAGTAGTCTCATGAGCTGATCTTGCAGATCCATAAATTCACACAGTGCCTGAGCGTGGGCATCTGGATGCTGTGCCAAACACTGGAAGAGGTTGAGTGGCTCAGCTGTTCTCAAGGCTAGGAGCAAGATTATCTCATCAGGCATGTTTTCGTTGCCAAAGAAGAAGTGGTTGAGGCATTTGTACTCCAGGCAGCAGCACAGGTACCTCATGATATCCTGCAACCATGGCAGGAAATCCCTCCTGCGCCAGCATGACACAGGTAAAATGGTCAGGAGGTGCATCACAACGGTCTTCAAGGTAGAGATGGAAAAGGCTGAGCCCACCAGGATGCAGGCAAAGATGTGCATTTGAGGTGGCAGCTGTTGTGTGGGGTCCTCCTGTCCACGTGCCTGAAGAACTCCACCTCTGCCACAGCATAGTGCTCTGGCCACATCGTGCTTGAGGTGAAGGTATCCACTCTACTCTGGTTGCTCAGGAAGATGTCCGAACAACCTTACTGCACCCCAAACATCATCTCAATGATGAGTCCAAGGAGACCAGTTGAATGGTGACTGTGGTCACAGGGTGGATTGTGTGGCAGATGCACCCGCCCTGACAAAGACCTGACAACGAACTGACCAAAGCCTGCAAAAACTTGCCTCCACAACTATTGTTACACCCACACAGTGGTTGTCAGCACGTATGCATTACGGTCAGAGGGTGAGGAATTCAGGGTCCTGAGCCAATGGGGGGCCACAGGACCATATTTGACCCCAGATTGGAATCAATTAGGGTATAAACGGAGCCCCACTGGAGAGCCATTCTGAGTTGGTCCTCCTCAGAGTAGCGGGTCTGCAGTGGAGGACTCTCCCTTTCAGTCGGAACGCTCCCCAAAGAAATGCCTCAAGGTTGAGAGCCCTCCCTTTTCAGGCCAGGGATTGGACATTTTGGTTCGTCAGCCACAAACCTTAGGAATTCTTAAGTCAGTTGCATGGTATTAAGTCCCGAGTGATGTTCTGAATCTGTGGATGGTTGATGTTTGTTGCAGCCTCAACGCAGTTTCAGTGACAATGAAACTTAGCTTCTGGTTGCAGTAAAGGACTTCTGGATATGCATGCACAAATAGCAAACCTGCTATCCTTGGGGATGGAGCTAGAGGGAAACCGAGCCTACATGCATACACTTCAGAGGAGACAGCATGACAAAGATGAGGTTTCCTGGCAACTTACCCACCCTGATCAAACCTCTGCAACTGAATTCAATATCAAAATTTTCACCATCTTCCATGATTTTCATGGGTTTTTTCCATCCATTTTCCCCTCAGATGTATTGAGGAAAGAATCAACCTGTGTTATCTTCACGTCTGCTGTGCAGGCACGGAAATGCTGCATTTGTACATGTAAAGGGTTTTGTCTTGTCTCTCAAGGCTGGGACCCTGAGAGACACAACGGGTGAAGCCATAGGTGCCTTTATTTATATGGAGATACTTTAAATCTGAGGAAGAAACATGCCTTCTACACCCTGTAGCTTCAAAAGAAGTGAGAGGAAACATGACACATCCTGTTTCTACAAACCCTTTTCCAGTAACTCTAAAGAAAATCTCTACACTTTCAAGGATTTGCAAAGCTACTTACCTTCATTCATAATGTTCCTGTTTTCCTCTGAGCTAAAACAGATTTCTGTGTGAAAGGACAACCTTCACTTGACAGAGTGAAGCCATCTGCCACTCCTTGTTTACACCAGTTCCGCAAAGCTAATCTCAGAGCCTCTTGGGGCTCAGAGTCTCTTGCTCTTTCTTGTATTTTGAAACTCAATAAAAACACAAGGAGCAGAATGGGTGGCACATTTTAAATGCTTCTTCAAAGGCTGATTTGCTTCAGTGTTTTCTCATGATTAAAGTATGGCATCTGCTGAAATAACAAAGAAATAGTGCGCAAAGCAAATGAAAACGCTAGAAAATCTAAGGTCAAGCAAGTTATTCTGAGTTTTAAGAATGTCCATGGTATAGCCAAGCTCAGATCTGTTTGCTATCTCTTCCAAAGTCAGTATTCAAGACTTTGCTCTCTCACCCTACAAATTTTTCTCAATGGCAGCCAAATTCTCATTGAATCTGATAGGAACAAGCTCTGACACTTACATAAGTGACTTCCCAATGCATGGGAACCGTCCTCTTTCCTCCAGTGCTTCATTCCATGGTACGCTACCAAGCAGATCCCTTAGGAGGCCGAAGACTGCTCTCTCCTGAAAGCCAGGGTAGTGAGCTTGCTGAGCGCCCTCCTTGCCACTCTAAGGATCTTGAACTCAACCATTTCATGGTCACTGCAGCCAAAGCTGCTCTTGAGCATCACGTTCCCCACCAGCCCCTCGTTGTTGGTGAGAACAAGGTCCAGCATAGCACCTCTTCTCGTTGGTTCCTCTATCACTTGGAAAAGGAAGTTATCATCAATGCATTCCAGGAACCCCCTGGATTGCTTCTGCAGCTGTTTGGCTCTATGTCCAAGGTTTTGCTGCGAGCTGTTATGGCTGTGCAGGGCTGCAAGACTCTGCCCTGCGCCGTAAGTGGTCAAGTGAAGCCCAGGAGAGCAGCCCAGCTGCATTTCCCTGAATCCGCCTCTGAACACAGGGCAAGAAGGGGCTTCTGGAGTCATCGAGGCTTGCCCTGGAGTCTACTTCTTAGAGTTAGCAGGAGGCAGAGGAGTGAAAATAATGTTTTTCCAGCAAGGTCGCCTGTGGGCCCTTTGCGGGCTATCCTTACCTGTCCCCAGAGGCTCTTGAGCAAGAGATGGCCACCTGCCAGCTCCTCACATCCTGATCCACTTTTCCTGAGAACTCAGCAAGGCAGAGTTTCACAGGCAAGAGGAAATCCCTAAACGGCATGCAGCCCAGAGAATGGAAAGTTTTTTTCAGGGGGGTTGGGTTTGTTTGTTGTTTTTTTTCCCAACATCCCCATGAATGTATTTACAGCTTGCTGTCCCCATCAGCGTCAGCGCAGAATCCCAGCAGAAACCCGGGCTGGGAGGGATCTTCCTGCCTGGAGAAGGCTTCCCAGGAGCACGAGGGATTTACCAATCACCACTTTTCACCTCCCATCCCTTGCCGTGTCTTACCAAAGGCCATGTGCAGCAGCAAGCTGCAGACAAGTTTGCTGGTGGTCGGCTACTTTGTCTACCTGCTGGTAGGTGCAGCCGTGTTCCAGGCACTGGAGAAGACTGCTGAGAAGCAGGAGAAAATAGCAGCTGCCCAGATGAGGGAAGCTTTTCTGCAGAACTTCACCCATCTCACGGTGGCAGAGATGGAGCAGTTCATGAAGGTGAGTGGCAGCCCTGCGGAAGCCCTTTCTCTCTCTTGTTTCCCCATCAGATGTTGTTTCCTACTCAGCCTTGCTACACAGATAACCTTCACCGCGTTCCTACTGATGTGGTCGTTTAGATGTTAGCAAACCCCAAGCCTGCTCCCCGGTCTGAGCAGGCAGGTCACATTGATGGTAAATAAAGCTTCTGTAGCTTGGCAAAACCTTGTGTGTTAGCTATTAACAGTCCCCATCCTGCGATGCCCCAGTTCTTTGGGGTCTTGCCTTCTGTTGATTTGGCTTTCGATAGGGCTATGCTTACCTACAAGGGGTGGCATGGCAGGAAAAATGAGGCTGTCTGAAATGAATGGGCATGGTTGCCACTTACAACTGTGTCACAGATAGCACAAAGGAACAATATGGCAGAGTCCAAAATAATCTGCTGGGTGAAAAAAAGAAGCCCGAATCACTACGAGGAGGGTGGCATAGTCAGGGCTTGCTTTCTGAAGATGCTGCAGAAGTGAAACAGATAGCCTGGCCAAAGGAAAGCTGTTTCTGGTCACAGCACAGGAAGCTGAGAATGAGTCTGGTTATCTCTTCCTCCTTGGTTATTTCCTAGCTCAGTCTGCTACAACGCAGTGGAAAATGGGGAGCACAAATAGCCTTGCTGTAAGCATTTCTGCTTGGGAAACTAACGGAGCTCTTAATGGGCCAGTTCACAGGATAAGGAAAGGAGAGGAAGAACCGGGGAAGAGCGACCAGTGATCCAGACCCCAGTTCACATGTGCATGCATCCTCTTCACCTTGAATGATTTTTTTTTTCCGCAGGGAGGGGAGGAGAAAAAAAAAGAGCAGCTTTTCAAGACAATAAAATCGTTGTGCAAAGGCTGTGGAATGATTTCTGTTAGCCTTGACTTTCTGGGACACCAGCAAAAAAGATAGTGAGGGAGGAAGCAAGGGGGAAGACTTTTCTGGTGCAGTTTTTTCCAGCTTGGGTCTTGCCTTTGGCAGGGCTCAGCCCTGGATTTTATCTAGGCTATTTATGGACAAATCAGCCTGCCTTCCAGATGTCCAGTCCAATGTTCTCTGTTTGCGAAAGTCAGGAACAGCTAGATACCGTGTTTGATTGTTTGTTTGTTTGCTTGTTTGTATTTTTCAATTAAAAAAAAAAAATTAACAGCATTTAGAATCAAAACCAAGGAGGAGGGAAGAGTCTGAAAATGCATAACATGATAGATGACAGGGCTGGAGGGCCTTGGGAGAAACATCTAGTCAAACCCCCTGTGGCAGGGCAGTCTCAACTTAACCCAAATCATCTCTGACAGATGTTCATCTAACCTCATCTCAAAGGCCACATTGTAAATATATGCGTGTGTGTTCATGCATGCATTTTGGAGAAGAGTGTATATGTCAGGCTGAATTCTGACTGTGGTCACACCAAGTGTAATGCTTTGCAAATCAATGGACGCTCTGAATTTAAATCTGTGATGCTAATCAGAATACAGCCTTAAAATGAAATCCCCTCTATATGTCATGTGTACCCTGCTATAACTCACTGATGCCCTCCTGGGAGGGATCAGCATCACTGCTCAGTACACCTGCATACAGGTGGGTGATTAGATCCTGGATCCACCACTGCCGTCTCAACGACAAACTTAAAACCAGCAATCAACCACTCTGTCATGTAAGCCAGCGGGCTACCTTGCTCTGCCACATCCTAGTCATCTATAGGATCATTTTTTTTCCAAAGTACTTAGCCTAAAAGAATTGAGGTACCTGGTCACATTAAAAGGAACAAGTTCTTCTAATGCACACTAGAGCAGTCAACATAAACAAGGCAAAAGATTAATGCTCAAAAACGCTGGCTGGCTGCTACCCAACCTTGGAGGTAAAGTTATGGATAGTGTCAGAGTATCGCTGAGGACAGGTGAGTGATAATCACAGAAAAGGAGCAGTAGTTGGTTAAATCTGTAGTATTTTTGCAGTAAGCACTTGAGAAAAGCAGCCGTGTTGATACCAAACTTTGCTGTCCCTCCTAGAACCTGACTGAAGCCATTCAGAATGGAGTTTACCCTGTTGGAAATGAATCACAGATTGAAGACAGCAACTGGGATTTCAGTAACTCCTTCTTCTTTGCAGGCACGGTCGTCTCCACGATAGGTAGGTCTAATGCTTTCCATGTATGTGTGTTTGTGTGTGTGTGGTGCTTATTATGTCTCATTATTAGGACCTGAATGGATAATAATTTCAAGGATAAAGGCTCCAGCCCTTCATTGTCATGGATAGGAAGCAGCAATGGACTTGGTCCTGAGACTTCACCACTGCACAGCTCTTCGTGCATTATTTTGGCTTGTGAAATACTGGTGGCTTTTCATATTATTTCCCACGTGTTTCTTCTTTTCGAGCCATCTGTTAAAATGTTCGTTCTGCTGCGAGTTGTGGGCAAGAGATAAACTTCACTTTCCTCATCTTTATTCTAGGGTCAAATATGCTTTAAATCTGAGAGTGCTGTAAAGCATGAAAGAATGGCAGGAAAGAAGTGAACTCTGCTGGGGCATGAACACTGTCTCAATATCCGGTGCTGAGCTGTTACTGCACATATTGAATTAGTGATATGTCAGGAGGAAAAAAATGGGAAGAGAGCAAGGCAAATGCTGAGACTTTTACACTGCTAGTTCAAGCTGTTCTGACCTTTTTGAGGGCTGCCCGCCCCTGCCTGCCTCTCCCTTTCTTTCAAATACGCATCCCAAAAAGTGCAGACCTGTCAAATTTAAGTGTAAAATCCAGTTGGCTCCTGCTTCACACTCACATCAGCAGTGAAAGTCAAATCTATGTTTTTGCAGAGGGTAGCCAAGGCCTCACTCCCACTATACCCTAGGAACAGCAGCTCCACTGATCTGTGAGTGTGACATGTCACAAGGGCCCCAGTGGTGTCCCAGCATCATGGCAGGTGTGTAGGTGTTGCATGAGCCCATGTGGAGACCTCCTGCTCTAGAATAAAGAAAGGCTTCTGACCCATCACATCAAAGACAAATGTTCCATGGTTACAACAACGTTCACATATCGATAAAGCTTCCCTAGTTTGTCAGCACCCTGCTACTAGCTGATCCATTCCTTGCTCCTATCTGCATTATTGTATTTTTTCATTACAGCATTCATCTGCCAAACAAATCTATCACTTCCTGTCAAATTTTTTTCCCTAGTGAGGCAGAAAGATTCTCCCAGGAAAAGTGCAACTTTGCCTGATTCTCTGCACCTTTGCCCCTGAGGTCTGTTGGGAAGGTACATCAGGTACTCCCAGTCATCTTCACCAGGTTTTGTCATGAAAATGGGATGTTTCTGTGACAGGGAGCATAAGACAGCATTTGGGGTCTAGTAGCCAATAAATCACTCAGGGTTTGATTTTTTTGGTCTTTTCCCTGAATAAAACATTGCATTTTCCAAGTAATGTATGCCTTGAGATGACCTATGCTTGGGAAAGTGCCTTTTCTCAGGGTCACTGATAGAGTAAGGACATACACAAAGTACAGCACTCAGGCACGTACCTCATAGGGTCTAAGAGGAACAATCTCCAGTCCATTAAAGGACATGTTTGGAGTTCTGCAGCCATTATTGCACTACTTAGATAAATCCTCTTTCGTAGGACTTTAAGACAAATATCTCTCTGGCACAAGTAAATCAGTCACCAGTAAGGTCTGGACTAATTAGCACCATCTATTCTAATGCACACTGCACAGCCTACAGGACTGGAGCCAGTATCTGGACATACCAACTTATGGGCATTTAGCCAGGGAGGTCACTAACACACAGGCAGATCGACAAGAAGCTAGAGATGGCTGTATGTGATTCCGATATGGCAAACAGCCTGGGACTCCAGCCATGATGTCTTCCAGGTCCTCAGATTTCTGGTTTTTGTCTTTCCATGTATTTGTCACAGGACAGAGCATGTTTTCCATAACTGCTTTTCAGTTGTGCTTTTATTCCCACTAAGGTTGGGTTGGGAGCACACAGTGCTCTCTGCATCCCCCAAAAGATGCGGTTTCTTAATCTGCTTACTGCCTTTTTCAGAGAAAAAAGTGTGAATGTGACCGTGGACTGCTCCAGTTCTCTGGAATATCTCCTCTGACCCATCTTTTTTTCATAGGCTATGGCACGCTACATCCTAAAACTGCTGGGGGCCAGATCTTCTGTGTCTTTTTCGCTCTGTTTGGAATCCCATTGAATATTGTTTTTCTGCACCGTGTTGGTAAGATGCTCTCACTGCTGTGTAAAAAGCTGGGGAAATTCCTGTATGAGAAAGGAATGAGAAAGGTAATTGGTTTTACTTACTCAGGCAGGTTTATATGCTAATTTCCAGTGTTGGGTTTTTTTTTCTCAAGATATATGGTAGCGTTATCCTCTATTCTGTTTGTTCTCATGCTGTGTTAGACGTTGTGCGCTAGGAGAGGGGAAGAGGCATTCTTCACTTGCAGAGCTAAATAGACAAGGCAACCATGGAGGAGATACTCAGAGAAAAGGATGCATTTTGTCTATCCATCTAAATGGCAGACATCCAGCCCGCTTCAGCAATCAATGGAGAGAGTGGGCGCCTCATCCCACTTCTCTAGATGCTTATCTCAGGAGCTGACACTCTAGGGAAGTACCTGTCTCCCTTTGTAACTCTAAATAGAGAGATGATTAAGCATCTCATCTTGAGGCAGCAAAAAGCAGGTGAGTTTTAAAAAGCTGTAAAAAGCAGGTGAGCTCTAAAAAGCTGTAAAAAGCTGTAAAAAGCAGGTGAGCTGTAGGGGTTTCAATGGGTACTGACTCAATGCCTAGTGTGCCACCCCTCCTTATTCATGATACAGTCCTTCAATCCCTCTCCTCCCTTGACTTTGACAGAAAGGCAACATCAGGCTGAAGTTGTCCATTTGAGCCCAGTTGCTGAAAAGTGAGGAGATATCTGAAAGGGCTAGAGACAGGATGTATCTTGCCTGATTAGGCCTCAGGTTATTTGCAGGTCCTCTCCTTTTCTCACCACTACTGAGGAAGTGAGAATAGCTTTTCTGTAATTCTGTGGTTCTACTGTAATTCTCCTTCAGGACAAGGTATGAACAGACAACCCTCTTCAAATTGCTAAATTTCTCCCCATGTCTGGCGGCAGTAGAACAGATACAGGCTCAAGCACAGGCACAATGCACAAAGGCATGAAAAATCATCCAACTGTTGCCATTAATTTCCAGACAATCTGGACTTATAAAATTCTATACATAAACTATATGTGTGTCTGGCTGATAAATCTTAATATATAACAAGTCTTTTTCTCCAGTCAAGGCTTCTTTGTGACTGCTAGGAAACAGGATGGTTTAAAAATCACTGTACAGGCACTTCTTCATCAGGAGCTCATTTGTTAAAAGTCTTCTTGTAGTAAGATATCCACTGGGTACGAGCCAAGTTGTGGCACTCATGCAATGAGAAATAAAATCAACAATCAGGACGCTTGGAGATAGTACTGTCAGAAGTAGTGTAAATATTATTATTTTTTTAAATTCTATTTTCCCAGGCAAATTTGAATGTTCTTTAGGTGCCACACCTAAATATCTAAAAACTAAAAGTGAAGTTGTCTGGTGAAAAGTGGAAATAGTAAGTCATTGGATAGAATACTTATGGTCATTGGAGGTTGACACAATCAGATAGACGACTACCTCTCCCCACAGGGCTACTGTGGACATACAACACCCATAATACATAGCTTCCCCCTGCTTCAGAGCAAGGCTAGGATACCTTTAGAGGAAGAGCACTCAATGCAAATCATTCAGTTGCTGTGGTCCTAGTAGGTATTCCTAGATAGCCACTATTCTATATGGCCTGCTAGCATGTCAAATCATGATTATGATTGTATTGGTTTCTTTTTCAGAAGAAGATCAAATTTCTGACGCTTTTGTTCTTCCTGGCAACGGGGATCCTTGTTTTTCTGTGCTTGCCATCACTCTTCTTCCAGATAACAGAGGGCTGGTCCTACAGTGAAGGAATTTACTTTGCATTTATCACCCTTAGCACCATTGGCTTTGGAGATTATGTCGTAGGTAAGACTGATCTCAGAGAGGAGGCACAGCAAAATGCCAGGGTTATGACTGTAATTACCATGAGTTGACTTTACAGGCGACCAATGTACTGTAGAGACAAATCTTCTGTCTGAGTCTTTGACTAGTCTTTGTCTTGTACAGTTCTGGGGGAAGTACTCATTTCTCTGGGATTATGTGTGCTGACAAAAGCACAAAACTGTCCGAATATAATGAAATGTGATCTTTTGGGGTGCAAATAAACCCTCCAAATTTTGAAGAGGGAAGGGGAAGTGTAGGGAGAGAATTCGAGATGCCTAGGAATTTGCATATACCAAAAGAGAACACACTGTGACAGTCATACAAAATAACACATGTATCCCTGCTTGTAGTGATAGGACAAGGGGCAATGGATTTAAACTGAAAGAGGGGAGATTTAGATTAAATATAAGGAAGACATTTTTCACTCAGAGGATGGTGAGGCACTGGCACAGGTTGCCCAGAGAAGTTGTAGATGCCCCATCCCTGGACGTGTTCAAGGCCAGGTTGGATGAGGCTTTGGCAACCTGGTGTAGTGGAGGGTTTCCCTGCCCATGGCAGGGGGGTTGGAACTAGATGATCTTCGAGGTCCCTTCCAACTCTCTCTGGAAAATCCCAGTCATGGGAAAGTGAGGAAATCTACTCACTCTATGAGAAGTGGGGCTTAAACATATATATCACTTCAAAAATGGCCTTCTCTCATCTCCTGTGCATGACTGGAGGCTCTCTGTCTTCACAAGCTGGAGCTTAGGATTGCCTCTGAAGATGAACTGTTTAAGCTACACTCCAGTATGCTGGAGTGCTTCTCAAAGCACTTCCATGGATCTCCTGACCAAAATACACTCTCCATGGAATAAGCTTCCAGAGAAACTCCAAAATTATCACCAGGAGTCTAGTCAGTGTTTACAGAAGAAGCAATCAAACACCTGTACTCCATGGAGAATCAAAGATTTCTCTTCAACAAGTTGTCCTGCCAGCATCTTGCCAGCCTGAACTTCTCTTCAGTGGGAATATGAGAAGGAAGCTCTGAAGCACTACTACTTGAGCACCAGTGCTGTCCCTACACAGAATCTGGAAGCCTCACGTCCCTTTCCAATGGACAGATATCCACCATGCAACAAATCCTAGGCTCTCAAGCTTTGTAGAGATGCAAGAGGGGCCTTGGAGACTGGCTGGCAGCCTTGCTGTGTGTTTGAAAAATTACTTACATCAGACTGAGGACTTTGGCAGAGGGACTCCACAAGCTTTTCCAGACACCATCTGATATTCCCGGCTGACCTTAATATCTCCGAGTCTGCTGAAGAAGCGGAGTAGCGCTTTGACAATCCAATCCAGTTGACATCTTGTTTGTTTGCATGAATTTAGTGATTGTAATGATCTTGTAGACTAGCTGATGGTTAATTCATGCAATGGCAATGAGTTGATTAGGCCACATTTCCCCAGGTGATCCTAGCCAGCTAACTGCTCCCCCTTGCTTCAAAGCACAGGAAAACCAGTGTCGCCTGAAATTCCCCTTTTCACATAATCCAGAGAAAGATTCTTTGTCTCCAACAGTGGTTAAGCAGTATTGCTATGAACATGACATGGAACTCAGGCATCAGGAAGGAGTCTGTATCACACAACAGTGACCTCTTTGCTCACTGTTTTCTGCAGCCAGGGCCAATCTTTGTCACTGCAGTGGAGGACAAAAGGGCACAGGCACTTCTTTCCTAACCCTCTGTAGGACTGATAGCCCTCACCTGTGTGATGCTGTGCACCTTGAACTTCAGTGATGTGGAATACAGGAAGGTGGAGAGTGGATGGTGCCATGCAGGAGAAAAAGTGGACGTCAAGCTGGTGCATTCTCTTCCCTTCTCTTATTCTTTAAAATACACTTGTTAATTCTCTTGCAAATTAACAAGTGTATTTTACAATGACAACAGCAAGTCACAGCCTGAAAACCACTACCTCCATAGCACTTTCCTCCTCTGCAGCCACATTATTTTACAAATACAGTTTAAAAACAACATTTAGATAGGTCTCCTGGCTCTGTGATTTCATCTTCATTAGGATGACTTAAATGGAGTTGAAATATTTTTCCAAGTGTATTTATCTCGATTGGTCTTAAACAACGGTAATAAAATTATGGGAAGTTTAAAATCTCACACCTTCACAATGAAACAAGAAGAATCAATGACTGCTCTGAGTTATTACGTATTTAGAATTGATTACAGATGACAAATAGATTTGTGCTGGCCAAGTGGAATGGAATAGGTTTGAGTTTATTTGCATTTTAGTAATTCAAAACTGATTTGTAGCTGTTGTACTTCAAGCATGAGCTAAAGCATGTTTTGGGTATGAACACAACCTCAGAAGATGGCAGAGTCTGGATTTAGCTGTTTGTAATACATGCACACATAGATGATACTTCTAGGGTGAAACTCTCCTTGGGCTGTAAACTGAATTTATGCCCTGCTGAAGTCCAGTTTTGAGTTAACATTGCAAAGGTATTACTAGTTGCTTTTCTAACCCCACATCATGAACTTCAGATAAGAGCACAAAAGGACATGCTTTGTAGCAAGGCTGGCATCCCCTCTGCCAACTCAAC